GTTGACGTCGAGCACGTTGTCCACGTTCACTCCAGCAGCTGTGGCGATCACCTGCTTGAAGGTGCCCAAATTTGCCTTGAAGTCAGCCAATGAGACGGAGGCAGATCCCTTCAGGAAGACAAACACGGTAGGAGAGGCCAGGGGCATCTCTTGCTTTTCGTATTTGACGCTGTCTTGGAACGCAATCAACGTGATGCTCTTGGTCTTGAGATTGCTCTCCACCGCCGAGTAGCTCAGTGGGGTCGTCCCCTTCCCATCGATGGCTGTCACAGCGATTGAAGTTGACACCAGCGTGTAGCTCATGTTCCCAGTGGGATTCAACTGATACACCACTTGCGTGCTCGTGACCGTGGCCGACCCGAGGGACCCGAGGGCTGCAGTGTAGTCGCTGGAGGAGTATCCTTGCACAGCCGCAGTGAAGCTCATTGTCCACGTGCAGCTCCCCTTGCAGGTGTAGCAGGTGATCGATCCCGCTCCTCCGCAAGTGCCGGTGATGATTGTGTCCGAGGGGCAGGAGGAGGAGCAGGAGGAGCAGGAGGGGAGCGGAAGGGAGGGGGCACAAGGATGTTTGCGATGAGCTAACAACCCGCCTCGGAAGTTTACCAAGGGGTGAAAATACCTTTGGAAATGGGGGTAGGGGTAGGTGGGCAGGAGGGGGTAGTTTTACAGGATTACCTTAGGGTGATCACTATACACACTTGAACTACCCGTACTTATGTGCTTCAAGTACCCCTTGCTGGATACCTGTTAGATGTACCCCACCCACCTCGCTAGTTTGTGTGCATTCTATTACCCCTCTTTCTACCGCATACTACCCTTTGATTAGAGGGTGGTTGAAACCTGTAGAGATTCAGATTTGATGACCCCACCCCACCCTTCATGGAGGGACAGTCACCCCTACAACAAAGGCGACGCAAAGTTATGGTGGGGGTGGTTGAAACCAAGACTGGGGTGGGTGAGATTTTTCAATTAGAACCCCAAAGTTCACTTGAAATAAAGGGGTACTTCCACTTTGTGATCTGAAAGGGACTTCAGGGTGGTAGGGTCATGGTACTCTTGGGGTGGGGTAGTGCTGATAAAATCATCAATGGGGGCGGCAGTGAGAATTTTTCAACGATGGGTAGGGTACACCCAGCACGGGGGTAGGGTATGAAAATGATTTGAGGGTAGGGTGAAGAGTTATTGTGGTAGGGGGTCCCCCCCTAGGTCAAACTAGGTATCACCGGGTATATAACTGTAGATTGAGAGGGTCATGGGTGATGAGGATTTTGTTACAGTAGGGTAGGTGGTTGTGATGGGGGGGTAGGGGTGTGATACGCAGGGTAGGGTTTAGAGCATGGGAATGGTGCAAGAAATGAAAATGGGATTGTGGAAGGCGGGAGGGAGGGGAGGGAGGGGAGGGAGGGAGAGCAGAGGATGAGAAGGTCTTGAACAAACAGAATCAGGCAGACTCTCACCTCCTCCTCAACTGTGTTAGACTCTCTCGCTTTGTGGCGTTGTCGCTAGGACGTAGGTGGTGCAGGATACGTAAGAGGGCCCCAATTCCGTTGCTTGCTTATGATCTCGAGGCAATGCGAGAGAGACAAGGAGCATGAATTCAGTTTATCTGTTGTTGACAGCGAGACGCAAGAGAGAGTTGGATTGATTGGCTACCAGCTCTTGCACTCAACTGCCCCCCCACACACACACACACAAAGTCTGTCGTTTTGTGCGTATGCTTACAAGAGTCTGTGCTTTTCCAGGCATGATGCCGTCGTGTTTCGACTTGATGAAACTGAAAGATCCGAACAAGTCAGTGAAGGTAGAGACATGTATCAGCGCTAGCTGCTGCGTCGTCTCACCCCTGAACCGCAGGAGATGCTCCTTTGCTCAGTCCTCCTTGCTTCATGTAACTGAACCCTGTGGTACCGCTCTATCGCAAGTGACTGGCGCCTCAGGTTTCATGTCAACACATTCGTGGACAGTCTCTACCAACTTCATCTCCACCAACTCCCGACCTGTCGGCTCCTCTCTCAGAGATTCTCTCGCTCCTGACATACAAGTTGCAGACCCAAACTCGAGGCTGGTGCGGCGAGCAGGGAAGGTCACTTAAGGTTTGTTCTACTCCTTCCTCTCCTCTCGCTCGCTTCTCGCCCTCTTCTCGATCTCCTTCCTCTCCCCTCGCTCGCTTCTCGCCCTCTTCTCGATCTCCATACTATCCTCTCACTGTTGTCCTCCACCATTGCCTTGTCTTCTCGCGCAGTTAATCCGCTATGGATCTCAGCTAACTTGTTTCAGCAGTCAGACTCCCGTAGGCCCCGAGCCTCTGGTGTCCGATGCTCCATGCTCGACGAAGCGATCAGCCTTTCAGGCATCGCCTCCTGCCTTCCTCACCTGCCCCGTATCATCGTTGGACGCCTCCTTCCTCCTCCCTCTCGATCGATGTGTCCCTCTCCTCTCTTCTCCTCTCCTCTCTTCATCTCTCATCTTACCATCGCAGCTTTGGCGCCGGCAGCGAGCGATTTCCTCTCGACCTTGAGCGCAGCCATGCTTCCTCCGCTCAATGTCACCTGCTCCTTTGCAGCAAGCTTGTCCCTGACCTTCTCAGCAGGAGGCCAGCAGCGTTGACCTCGGCCTGAGGCTGGGTGGAAGCATCCTCGGCTTCCTGTACCTGTTGTCTCCTCCCAACGTCATGAATGGTCTGCTCGACCGGCTCTTCCTCAAGGCCATCGACGCGAGGAGTGAAGACAACTGGGGTCCAGACGACATCAGCCCCAAGGTGGGGGAGGGGGAGGAGAAGGGAGGAGGACGAAGGGGAAGGAGAAGGAAAGGAGGAGGGAGGAGGGAGAAAGAGGGGAGGAAACGGACTCGGTGTTTGAGAAGCAGAGGAGTGCGTGCAAGGGAGAAGGGAAGGGGAAGAGAGGGAAGAGGGAGGTAGAAAGTGACATGAGCGCTCAGGTTGGTAGGACGCTGGGCAAGGGAACCTTCGGGCTGGCGTACGAGGCGTTCACGACGTCGGAAGGGAGGAAAAAGCTCAAGGGAAGGAGGGACGAGGAGGGACGAGTCGTCATCAAGCGATGCCTCGATGATGATCAGGCTGACATTGAAGCTTATTTCAACCGGAGGTACGCGCCTCCTTCCTGCCGCACGAGTTGACCACTCTCCCCTCCCTCCCTTTTCTTTTTCCCTCCAGGGTTCGTCGGTTGGGCAAGCAAGCTTACTTTGCGACGTTTCTCGGGGCACAACGGCGAGCAGGTGGGAGAGGAGGAGGAGAAAGAGGAGGAGGAGAAGGAGGAGAAACCTGACAGCTGCATGCAGGCGATGTGATGGGACCTGGAAGGTAGTGAAATGAAGGGGGGGAGGAGGAGAAGGAGAAGGAGATTGTGTTTGTACTTGTGCTTGTGTTCTTGCTTGTGTAGAGTCTCACTACCTTGGTTGTGCTAACTTTGTTCGCTCCCAGACTTCTGGTTTGGAACTTCGAAGGGAGTCGAACTCTAGAGTCTTACATGATGGTCCTCCTCCCCTCTGCTCTCCCCTGCCCCTCTCGCCGACATGTTTGTCTGCAGGAGCCGTCATTCCCATTGAACCTTGAATCTCTAGTGCTCTACAGAAGGCAAGCCAACCCCAAGGAGGTCAGACTACTTCCTCCTTCCTCTCCCCTCTCCTCAATCCCTTCGACTAACTCACTCCTCCTCCTCCCCATCCACCGCCTCCCTCTTCGTCCTCTTCCTCCCCATCCACCCCCTCCTCCGCCCTCTTTCTCTTCAGTTTTTCCCTCTGACTCCTCCCGCTTCGTTCCTCCCCCCATCCTTCTCACTTCTTCTCACTTGTACCCCAGGAGTTCAAGACCCCCAAGTTTGGAGGGAAAGCTCGTTCGGAGGAGACTGAGAAGGTCCAGCTGAACTTGAGCTGGTCGCGCCTGACGTGAAGGCAGCGGGAAGTCGAAGTGATCAAGAGGATCGCAGCCAACACCCTGACGGCCCTCAAGACCCTTCATGATGCTGGCGTCGTCCACCGGTTCCTCCTCATCCCCCCTCCATCCCCAACCTCTCCCTCTCCCTCTCCCTCGCCCTCTCCCTCTCCCTCTCCCTCTTCCTCTTCCTCCCTGACTTAGTCATAGGGACGTGAAACCTGCCAACATTCTCGTCGCCGAGACTGCCGAAGGAGCTCCTCTCCGCCTTATCGACCTGGGGGCTTGTGTGGACCTTCGCAACGGGTAAGAGGGCAGGGGAGGCAGAGGAGAGGGGAGAGGAGAAAGGAGAGCGAAAAGAAGGGAGACAGGGGGAGGGAGGGAGGGAGGGAGGGAGGGAGAGCAGAGAGGGAGGGAGAGCAGAGAGGGAAGAGAGAGAGGGAGGAGAGAGAGGGAGCAGAAGAGTTTGCATGGCAGGACTTCACTCTCATCTTCAATTTTCATTCTTGTCGGCAGGTTCAACTTTGATCCTGAGAAGGGCTTGCTCGACCCTCGATATGCCCCTCCTGAGCAGGTGAAGCTATTCCACTTGTTCTTGTCTCCCCTCTCTACCTTCCTCCCTCCCTCCCTCGCGCTCTCGCTCTCGCTCTTCTAACTCCGTCTCCTCAACTCTCACCCTCCCTGTTTCTCCTCGACTTCTCCTCCTCTCTCCCTCTTACCCCCTTCTCACATTCTTCCAGTACATCATGCCTCAGGATGTTCCCAAACCGCCCAAGGGAGTCCTGGCGCTGCTCGCTTCCCCTTTCTTGTGGCAGGTGACAAATACTCTCCTCTCTCTTCTCCTCCCTTCTCCTCTCTCTCCTTCTCCCTTCCCCTCTCCTCCATCCTCCTACCCTTCCATCTTTCCTCCTACCCTCTCCTCCCTCCTCCTACCCTCCGTCCTTCCCTCGTTCCCTCGTGCTCTAATTTCTCCCTCCTCCTCCTCCTCCTCTCCCTTCCCCTCACGCTCTTCTCAGGCCATGAGTCCGGATCGCTTCGACACCTACAGCGTTGGCATCATGTTGATGCAGATGGCCGTTAGCCCCTCTATCCGCCCGCCTGCCTCCCCCTGACCTTGCCAGCAGATTCCCCAGCTCAGAAATGTTGCCAACATCAAAGTTGTCAGCACTCAATTGAAGTAAGTCATGATCGCATGTCGCTTCGCAGCCTGATGAATTATCCAGCTCTGATCTCACTTCCTGAAATTCGTATGTGAGCAGCTCCTTTCGACCATGATGGCTGGGGAACACACGATACCGACCTCTAAGTCCTGAATCTGATATCCACAGATCTGCTGTACTCTGAACTTGACGTTCA